GCTTTGATTGTGAGACTTACAGAACAATGACAGCCAGGGAGATGAGTAGGATGATCCCAATGATGACTCCCTGATACGCTGGCTCCATTATAGAGGGGTTAGGTTTCATTTCATTTTCATTTCCATCTTTATTTCAAACAGATTAAAAAAACAAAAACAAAAAAATGTGAAAAAACAGAATACCATATTATTAGAATAGCCTACAGTATTTATCAAAATTCATAATAATATTTACATATTCAACAACAAATAGTCATAATATATATTCAACAAAAATATTGATATTAATACTAATAATAAATCATATGTGTCCGAAAGGGAGCAGGAGGAAGCAAATGCTTATTAATTAATGTACTGCTGATCAATGATTATCCTTACATTTATACATTTACAATACTTTCTCATCTTCAATCACCTTTCTTCATTCTCATAGTTTTCCCAAAAAGTGTTTCTGTACATCCTTTTAAACTGAATGATATGTGTGCTTTGTTTTAACTCCTGCTCCAAACCGTTCCATAACATCCCCCCACAGATTGTTATGCTCATACTTCTCAGTTGTTCTGACCTTGAGTTGTTTCAAATGTAGATTTCCTCTCAAGTTATACCCCCCCTCTCTGTCTATGAACAATGTTTGTAATTTCCTAGGAAGTAGATTATTTCTTGCTCTGTACATGATTTGTGCAATTTTACATTTAACCAGATCAGTAAACTTCAGTGTGTGTGACTTCAAGAATAATGAATTAGTGTGTTCAAGATATCCAACATTATTGATTATTCTTATAGCCCTTTTTTTGTAATGTGTGTAGCGGCTGTAGGTTGGTTTTGTAAGTGTTTCCCCAAATCTCCACACAGTAACTCAGATATGACAACATGAGTGTATCACAGAGAGTATATAATTATTTAGTCCAGAATGTGTCTTGCTTTCCCCAATATTGCGATAGTCTTAGCCAGTTTTGCTTTTACATGATTGATATGAGGTTTCCAGCTCATTTTGTTGTCTAAAACCACACCAAGGAACTTATTTAAATATACTCTTTCTATGTTTATGTTGTCTAGTATTAATTGCACGTGTGTATTTGTTTTATGTTTTCCAAATGGCATAATCTTTTTTTTGCTTATATTTAATGATAATTTGTTCTTATCAAACTAATGTTTTACTTTAATCATTTCTGCTGTTATTACCTCCATTAGCTGTTTCAAATTGACACCAGAACAAAGAATATTAGTATCATCTGCAAATAAAATACATTTCAATATATTTGATACTCTGCAAATATCGTTGATGTACAGTATATGATGAACAGCTTTGGACCCAACACAGACCCCTGAGGTACTCCACAAGTTAGGTTACAATGTGACACTTCTCTTCAACAGAATAATAATCAGATGACCTTTATTAGTCCCACAGGGGAAATGTACATTGTTACAGCAAAAGTTAAGAGATAAAACTAATAAAGAGGCATGCATACAAATATTAAAAGATAGAAATTACACAAATGTGAAAAGTAACAAAGACAGAAATAATTGTGCAATACAGATCGAGCAGATGTGACATTCAGAAACTTCACATATACTATTGTATTATATTTGGTCTCTTATGGCTTATCTTAGCTGTAAAATAAACATTTCACTATCAATAAAAGCTAAGTGAAACAATCAAAAATGTTCCTGGTAACAATCTTTATTATCAGTTCCCCTTCTTTCTTTCTTAACATGTTTGGAGAATGCTTGAACCACTTGCTATCTTTCAAATTGGAAAGTCAAAAGAATAGTTTGTGATTTGTAAATGAAGTCAATATTTCAAAGTCATTATTGCAGTTAGTAAAACATTTACTAACTCTTAAAGAATTTAAGAAAGCTACAGAAGATAACAACATAGGTTTCAGAAGACAAATATAGCCATGCAGACATTTGGAGACCACCTCTCATCATCTGAACTGTATGATTTGCAGATACTTGGTGACCCACCTAATGGGTGCAGACCTTAACAACATCGTCAAGTGTCAAAAGCTGACCGATGACCACGTCCAGTTCCTCATCTACCAGATTCTCCGAGGCTTAAAGGTCAGTGAAGCTCCCAGCGAAACAGAAGAATGTATCTAGAAACTGGTGCTGTTCGACATGTTTATCAGTCTGCTGTCTTCCTAGGCTGATCTGCAATGTTCTGAAGTTAGGCTACTAACTTATGTTTTGTCAGTAATTTGAAAATAAATAAATAAATAACTTAATTAATCTATTTTGGTTGAGTGGCTGTAGAAACATAATTTAATTTCAGTAAGAAATGTTTAACTAAATGTAACAGCCAAATGAATGAGAGTCTGTCTATTTAAAGTTTTTCTCTAACCTCTTGCCGTTATTGTGCCTGATATTAAGCTCTCTGAATACTTAATCTGTTGGGGTAACCCAAATTAAAGTAACCAAGTAGAAGGCATCTGGCATTGATGATTTTATCAATAAATGCAGTCTTTTTTACTTGCGCTCGCCGCTCTGCAATATGTGTAAATATACATTTGTGGACTGACATATATAACAAACGGTTCTATTATTTAAGAGACATTACTTTTTGGTGTAAGATTCCAAGATTTTAATGTCATATGGACATAAGCTACAGTGTAGAAATGGATCTGAAAATCTTATGACCCGAGCTCCTCCAACGATGCAACATATATAATAAATTAAAAATACAAATTAAAAATTGTGCAAGAAGTCTATATTCACGTAAATAGAATATGATATGTACAAGAACAGAATGTACATGTCATATTGTACAGTAGATTCAATTAAATATGGTTTGTTACGGTGATAACTATTTAGAGAAATAAGTAAATTGCAAAAAGAGGGAAATGTTTGACAGAACTTACAATAATTTGTTAACTGTACTGAAACATGTGGTCACACACACACACACACACACACACACACACACACACACACACACACACACACACACACACACACAATAAACTGTGACAGTACAAAAATATCAGATTAAATACACTTTGGGCTGTGTTCCAATTGAGACTGCAATATAAGTTCAATCACCATTATTTTTGTTCTTTTCCCCCCCCACAGTACATCCATTCTGCAGATATTATCCACAGAGTAAGTAATGACTGTTTATTCATCAGCTACGTTTCCCAGGGACAGGGAAAGGCTCTGTTACTTTTGCATCCATACTTAATTTTATTTTCTTGCTCCCTTTCTCCTTAGGACTTGAAGCCTAGTAATCTGGCTGTGAATGAAGACTGTGAGCTCAAGGTGAAATATGGTGTAGTTAAAATGTCATCTTATAAGATTCAGAGGATCTACTGTCGAGATTAAATGGTGCAGCCCATTTCCTCACTCTCTCTACCTCTCAAACCAAAACAAATATTTTCCCCCTCAGATCCTGGACTTTGGTTTGGCACGGCACACAGATGATGAGATGACCGGCTACGTAGCCACCCGGTGGTACCGAGCCCCAGAGATCATGCTCAACTGGATGCACTACAATATGACAGGTACACACACTGATTACATCTCAATGTTTCAGGCTGAAACTGAATACAACGGTAAATAATTTGCGATTTCACACAATTGAAATACCTCACTGACATCTGTGTGTTGAACAGTTGCGGTAATTCAGCAATGCATTTTTCAAAGGAGCTCAACAATATACAACTTTTTGTGAAATCCATGTAAGAGTCCTATAGGCATTATGCTTTTCAAAGCTTAAACTAATTAAGTTAATGTAATGTAACTTATACTTGACCTGAACCAGACAAATTGTATCATATTCTATTTACAATGCTGAATGTTTTCCCTCTTTACATGTAATAGTGGATATCTGGTCAGTGGGCTGCATCATGGCTGAACTACTCACTGGACAGACGCTCTTCCCTGGCACAGACCGTATCCTTCCAGCACTGGCATTGCCATGCAAAAGTAAAATGGCTCCTTGTAGTCAACCTGTGCTGTAGGTCTTTGGTAGATCAGGAAGAGGTAGTAGAGATGATGCATACTTCATAATACTATATTCAAGGGTCTTCTCACACAAGCTGTTGCTTTGTTGCAAGACCACAGTGATTCAAGTACACACACATGTACAAGTGCATGCGAGAGAGTAGTGAGGGCAGCGTGTGTTAGGATATGTGCATGCATGTGATAGTAGTTAAGAGCCCCTGCAGTCTATGACTCAACGCTGCCCACTGTTGTCTGCACTGCTTCTCTAAGATGCAGTACACCTTAATGTTTCCCTCCCACAGAGCTCTCATTCAGCAGCAACAGAATATAACAATGTCCAAACACACAGAATGACACTGTGTAATCAGGACACACACACACACACACACACACACACACACACACACACACACACACACACACACACACACACACCCACTGTGATTGTGTTTCCTGCCCTAAATGATCAAACACACCATTCCTTCACTCAGTGCTCCGTGGGTGTTTAAATGCGTGCCCTCAGACCAAAACTAAATCTGGTGGTGGAGCCACCCACCTACGAGCCACAGTTAAAAAAACACTCTTTATGGACATTTTCATTTTACCTGTATCAGCGAATTAGTGAAAAGTGGTATTTTGAATCTAGAGGCTACAGACAAAGCAAAATGAAATCTTGCAAAATATAAACTCATGCACATTTTAAGGTTCAGTGCGCAGGAGCTCGTTCTAAAGGGTAAGGGAACATCTAAATGTGTAGATTAAACATGTTTAGGTTTAAATTGCATTTATATTTTCTAGTTGGCATCATTCTATATTCAGAAACTGGAAAGAATCTGCAGATCAATGATTAAAAATGAACATTAGTTGCATTAAATAACATTTTGTTCACCTATGACAGCTCTTTCCCCCTCTCTCCTTATCCAACACCCACCTTCCTGTTTTCCTTCATGCGTGTGGTAGACATTGATCAGTTGAAACTTATAATGATGCTCGTTGGAACCCCAGGGCCCGAGCTGTTGATGAAAAGCTCTTCGGAGTCTGTGAGTGTAAAATACCATCCCGCCCCTCCCGCCTGTGTTTGTGTCGCCTTGGCAAGAGACAGACAGTTACTCTACTTTGTACTGCTACCACTACTTCTCTGCTGCACCTGTTTCGCCCTGAAATTGTGTGGCTTTATTTGCACTTAGCTTAAGGCTTTGATTCCCATTTTTGTTTCTAGCACATACCATGAACACATACTATCTTCTAAGCTCTCCCTATGAAAAAGTAAGAGGACTCTAGTGCAGCAATTGGCTACCGCAACCATGAATCTATTTAATAATAATACTCTTTTAAAGGGTCATAGTCAGGCTATGGTTGTCATTCAGCCAGGGGTGGAGAAAGTATTCACATCCTTTACTTGTGTACAAGTCCTGCATTGAGAATGGTACAATTATTACAATATAATCATGACAATGTACTTTAACATACATCAAAGTTCTTCATATGTTTGGGTGTAAAAATCGTGATCTGTAATGTAACTAGTAGTTTCAGATTTATAACAATGCAGTAAAGTAAAACGTACAATATTTCCCTTTGATATGAAGTGGGGTTGAAGTTTAAAGTGGCTCAAAAGGAAATATTCAGTACAATTACTCAAGGTTCTTGGAATTTAAGTGTGCACATCGAAGCTAAAAAAACTATCCGCCTCTTCTTACATCATCTACATCCTCAGCCTGCGTGTGTGCCCCCCCCCCCCNCCTCCCCCTCCCTTACACAAACCCCCATGCTCTTTGAAATGCTGACCTCCATGTTACGATGCCCCTTGACTCGGAAGCTTTAGATATAAACCAGCTGCAGCAGATAATGCGCCTGACGGGGACGCCCCCAGCCTCCCTCATAGGCAGGATGCCCAGCCATGAGGTGAGACACGAGCCCTCCACCAACACCCCCCCTCCCCTGAGCTGGATTCTGGGCCGAGCCACAGTTTGAAGACGCATACCTTTTTAGATTAGATGTGTCAATTTTCTTACAGTCTGCATCTGCATGTTAGCCCTCTACTCTCACTTCCTCCCTGTTTCCTCTCTGACTCACCGTGCTTCTCTCAGGCTCCCTGTACTGATGGTAATGCGTATTGATTCTGAAATTAGAGCCTAATGTTTCTGTAATGATGTGGCTTGTGTTAAAGTGCTTGCATCATGCCGTAATTGGAGATTGTAAGGCAATAATAGTTTCTGCACCAGGCAATTGCATTACATCAATGTTACGTCTGTCAAAGATATTTTACATTTTTAGGCTGCAGCTCTAGCGAAGTGCCACGGTGTTATCTTTTATTGTTTTGCTATTTTGTTGTTCTTTTCTCATAGGCGAGGAACTACATTAACTCACTTCCTCAGATGCCTAAGAGGAACTTTGCTGATGTGTTTATCGGTGCCAACCCTCTTGGTAAGTCCCCTTAAGCACCGAGCTATACTACTCCTGGCTCACTGAGTCCCTCTAGTGTTATTAGAAAGTCACTGTTTTTCTTGGTAAGGACTATCCTCAATTATTATAAGTTTTGCCCAATTCAAATAAATCGCTATAAAATCTACTCACGACAGCAATGAAATACGTTTTAAAATCCTGTTATATTCATTACAGGAAAAAGGTAATGATCAATGTTTTAGTTTTCCTTTCACATACTCATCAAGTTTTTCTTGTTGCTGTGTTTAAGCTGTGGACTTACTGGAGAAAATGCTGGTGCTAGACACAGACAAACGGATCACAGCCTCCGAGGCTCTAGCCCACCCGTACTTCGCCCAGTACCACGACCCGGACGACGAGCCAGAAGCAGAGCCTTACGACCAGAGCTTTGAAAGTCGTGAGCTGGAGATTGAGGAATGGAAGAGTAAGTTGGCACATTGTGGATACCTGGGGCAATAACCTGAACTAGCTGGGAGGAAAAGGCATATATGTTAATTGTTTATTAGATAGATTAGATTATTATCAGATTATAGCACAACCAGTAACTGATATTTTTAATCTCTCCCTGTCCACTCACACACTGCCAGCTCTGTGGAAGCAAGCTCTGGTATCGCCCCTCTTGAAAGCTGGTGATCCCACTGAGTTAAATAATTATCGTCTTATCTCAAATCTTTCTGTGTTATCAAAGATTCTTGAGTCCCTAGTTTCTACTCAGCTAAAACTTTTTTTTAAATTCACACAACATCCTTAACCCTATGCAATCTGGATTCAGATCAAAGCACAGTACTGTGACTTCCAGTCTGAAAGTCTTAGACGATATTAAGGCTGCTTTAGATAACAAATCAGTTTGTGTTGCATTGTTTATTGACCTAGCCAAAGCATTTGATACTGTAGATCACCACATTATGTCTAATGTTATGTTGGTGTCTCGTTTCGGTCATAACGCCATTTGCTGGTTTCAGAGTTATCTAACCGACCGTACTCAATGCGTCAGGTTGGGTAGCACTGTCTCTGACCCTGTCACCTTGGAGAAGGGAGTTCCACAGGGTGCTATTTTGGGGCCTTTGCTCTTTTTATTATATGTAAACAATATTTGTAATCAGATGCAATTTTCTACCTATCATATGTATGCTGATGACACTATTGTATATTCATGTGCTCCTTCTCTGGATATGGCCGTTTCCAATTTAAAATCTGATTTTATCACGCTGCAGCATGCACTTCTTGATTCCAAACTGCTTTTGAACAGTAAGAAAACCAAAGCAATGCTTTTTGCTCCCAAATCAGCGTCCTCTTGCCTCTCCATTGACACCCTTGATAGCGTCTCTGTTGAGTTTGTTGATACCTACAAATATCTTGGCTTTTGGTTGGACAGTAATCTGAATTTCAAACACCACATTGAAGTT